AGAGGTATTGTTAAATATCTGTTTGAATGTCGTGACCTGGCATCTATTTTGGATTCTGCTACTGTTAATAGTGATGAAGGTGTAATCAAAGACGTATCAGATGGAAGTGTGTACCAAAAATTAAATGAACATCGTTCTAAATATGATTTAACTATAATTTTAAATTCTGATGGTGTCAAAGTTAAGAAAACAACCAAAAGTGAACTGTGGGTGCTATTAGGTACAATTGTTGAGATTCCAATCCATTTACGAGACACCTTCATTGTGGTTTTTGGATTGTGGTATGATGAAGTGAAACCTGACAACATGAATACTTTTCTAAAGCCGTTTTCAGAAGAACTTCTTTCAATAAGTGAACGGCCAGTGGAGTGGACACATCCACAGACCTCGGAAGCCCATGAAAGTGAAGTGAAAGTTCAGCTTGCTGTTGCTGATGCCCCAGCACGTGCAAAGATGCAGAACATTCTTAATTTCAACGGAAAGCATGGATGTAATATGTGTGAGATAAAAACCAAAAAGTGCTTACGACACCCAGCCTTCAAGAGAAGAAAACGCATATATCCTTATAAGCACAATATCCGTCTTCGCACAGCAGTCAGAATGAAAAAGCAAGCAGAACAAGCTGTGGAAAATGGTGATGATGTGAAAGGAGTAAAAGGACCTTCTATTCTTAGCATTATTCCTTCAATTGATATTTCAGAGTGTTTCATACCTGAATATATGCACTCTGTTTTGCTCGGTGTGGTAGATACCTTGATCACTCTCTAGATAGACAAGCCTGGTCGTTGGAGCATTAAAAATCATATTGAGGATATCGACTCTCTTTTGAAGGACATTCTCCATCCTGATTTTGTTCACCGAGTTTCTAGACAGTTAGGCAAACTCTCATACTGGAAAGCATCTGATTATTATTATTTTCTGTTGTTTGAATCTCTACCTGTACTGAAAGACTTCCTTCCTGGTGATCATTATCAGCATTTTATTTTGCTTGTGAGATCTATTTTCCAGCTCTTGAAGAGAAGTATTACTCAACGTGATTTGGAAGAAGCAGACCTCTGCCTGAAATTATTTGTTAATAGATTTTGTGGCCTCTACCCTGATAGGGATCTCACTTACAATATCCATCAATTGCTCCATTTGTCACTCTCTGTGAAGCGGCATGGCCCTTTATCGTGCACCAGTGCTTTTGGTTTTGAGGGCATGAATGGGACTATTGCTAAAGTAACACATGGTACTTACAATATTGGCATGGAAATTGTCAATAATATAAAGATTTGCCAAGGTGTCGCAGTCTTAAAGAAGGTATCTGAAGGACTTCATGGATATCAAAGTATCTCTTTATTTTGTAAAGGTGAACCGCTAGGTGGTGAAATAGACATTGACATTTCTCAAGAGGAAAAAGGTTTAATCAATAATACAGATTTTAAAATTTACTCAAGGGCTAAAGTAGGATATGAAGTGTTTACCTCCCTGATTCACAAGAAGCTCAAGTCTGCTAACTATAATATTATGTTGAAAGAGTATGGAGTGGAAAAATATGCAAGGATAAATTTTTTTTTTGTTTGTAATGGTGACTTAGGTGCTTGTCTGAAATTGTACAAAGTTGACCATCTAAATGTCATTTATAATACAGAAACTCTGAAAACAATTGAACATCTGGTTCCTGTCCTAAATACTGAGGAGACTATTATTGTCAGTGGGGAGACACTAGCTTCTTTCATCAAAGTAGGCAAAGTCAAGAACTACCTTTGTAAGAGACCAAATCTGTTCCATCAAGTTTTGTAAAACTGAAACCAGACAAAATAAAATAAAATTAGGTGCCTTCAAAAAACTATGTTCTTTTACTTAGTGACCTACATTGGCAAAGGCTCCGTCCGACTTCTCATCGGTCCAGTCCATTCCATTTTCTTTCGTGCCCTTTTCACCCCGCTCACCCAGAAAAGACACTTTAGGAAATGGAATGGATCGGACTGATAAGAATTCGGACGGAGGCCTTCGGCCTCACCTGGCCACATCAGTGGTTTAAGCTGTTCCAGACAGCTCAGCTCAGTGCGGTAACCGGCTGCTTATTGGCCAGCGCAAGCAAGTACAATCGGTTCGCAACTTGCCATGAGAGCGCCTGACGAATGCTGCGTAGGCAACACTGCACGGCCGGAGTGCTTG